GGAATTTCAAATTACTATAGTGTGTAACTAGGGTTAATTTTCACACCATAGCCGTAGCCTAACAGCTGTAGTCCCTATATAACCCCCTTTAAGGAGTTTAGACTCTAGTACACATGGCATACTGAGGCGGCAGCCGGGGCGAGCATCTGTAACAAGCCACTGAAGGCCTGCCTCAGCAGAAAGCGAGGCAACAAACGCAGATCCATATTATATTGGGTTATATAGGGGTATATAGGAGTATATAGGGGTTTCCCAAACGTAGGGATACCAATAATAAGGATTATACTATTTTGGAAGTCTATAGGGTTTAGGGTTTAGGGGGAATATGTTAGGTGGACCCCCCACCCAGTAATAGTGACTATAAGGGAAAATTATATTAGGGTCCCCTTATATTCTTATTATACCACTATTACAGGGAGGGGGGTCCTCCTAAGGTATATGGGGCTTTCCCACAAGTAGGGGATAAGAAGGATTATACTATTGTGGAAGTCTATATTGGGTTCCCGTATTTCGGGAAACTACCATGTAGGGGTCATTTTCGGGTATTTCACAGAAACCATGGAAGGGAATTGGGCTCTCAGCCTAATGCGCACGCCCAGAAACGAAAGTCGCTGCTTAGCGGGTTTGATGTCGTGACCCCTTCAACTGATTCAATTAAGGGGAAGACAAACTCTAAACGTAACCAGCCAGGAAGTATGCTTTAACAATGATTTTCCAATTGTTTTCAATTGCGACCCTTTGAGTTTCCGCATCAACCCTGTGAGAAGCATGTATCTTGTGGGGAGAGTTGATGAAGGGTGATGACAATCAACACCCTGGCCCAACAGTCCGTAGAAAGGGGTAGCACAGACCATCAGCGACCATTTGTGCTTTCGCCTTGAAAAATCGAGGCGAAAGAGTGCTAGACTTGGCTACACAAACTCCTTCATTCGTCCGCTAAATTTTCAGAGGGTGTTCTTTTAAGATCCGGCCGGATCCGCTCTGGCAGGGGCAATCTGATCCTTGTTTGCTTTGCCGTTGAACTACGCTTAAACGTGCGACCACACGGTGCAAAAAGCTCCTTTACCCATCCTGAGCCATTATACCAATCCCGGACTTTCTCAAAACAACTGCAGGCAAAGAAGACTGCTATCTGACTTACTTCCACCCATGCCAAACTCCCAGCTGGCGCTCTCTTCGGGGAAGGGGAACTTGCCTGCCCTAGGCCGAAAGCGCCGGGGCTCCGGCCAAGATGTTGGCCTCAACAGGGCTTAGGATCGGATCCAACCATTACTTCATATTACTGTTAATTCTATTACTTCATATTGCTGTTATTTCTATTCCTTCATATTACTGTTATTTCTAGCAGCAATGGTGATCACTCCCGTAGTTGGGTAAAGGCATGGGCGGGGCGACAGTCCTTGCATATTCTGCAGCGGCCGTGCGAAACGTGATGTTGATTCTTGCTTTTTTGCAGGGCCTCTGCGCATGCCTCTCAATGTGGCGTTGTCGCAAAAGGGTTTGTTGCAAGCCAAGCAATTCTCTTACAAGCCAGCCCAATGATGTTGATTTGCAACCAATTTCTGGCAACTGATGGTCGTCTCTGCTGTGGCAGCACCATGGGCAGTATACAATTTCCGTGGCATCCTTACGACGGAAAACTTTAAGCCCTGAATGTCGTTTCCATTTTCTTTTCCATTATCCCCATATAGCCCCAGTATACTAAATAGTGGTTTCCATGTTCTCTTCCATTATCCATAGCCCCAGTATACTAAATAGTAGTTTCCATTTTCTTTTCCACTATCCCTATATAGCCCCAGTATACTAAATAGTAGTTTCCATTTTCTTTTCCATTATCCCTATATAGCCCCAGTATACTAAATAGTAGTTTCCATTTTCTTTTCCACTATCCCTAAAAAGCCCCAGTATACTAAATAGTAGTTTCCATTTTCTGTTTCATTCACCAAGGCTCAGTTAGCTTCCACAAGAACCAAGGCAAAACTGAGCTGCTGACCTTTGTTGGAGCTCTCTCGGGCCTGACACCAAAAGGTAATAACGATTATGAAAATAACTTAACCATAGTTCTCGCAGGAATAGTAGTAGAAGTACTTCTAATAATCATAATCATAATAATACTAATTCTAGTAATAATGGTAACGACAGTCATGATTAGAACAACCAAGAGCACATGCATGGCATGGACGAGCTTGCATGTGCCTCGGTCTCCCATCGAATCCATCAACAAGCAGTTGCAACTGCTCAGGAGCGTACCTGCACTAGGGTCTCCCAAGATTAGGGGGGGCTTTTTGGGGGTCTCCATAATAAGGACTTTGGAATTTTGGGGTCCCCCTAATGTGGGGGGTCCTGTTAATGAGGATTGTGGTATATTATTCCATACTATGGTATGTTATAGTATACTGTTGTAAATCATAATCGTTTGGGATCTATCATGTTTTTCCGAAGCTTGCCTCTAAGCTGTTCCCGAGGCTTCATTCTCCAAACCTACCCCGGGGTATTAAGCTCGAGCTTTCATGAAGTGCTGTCCATCGTGATCTCCAGCTTTCCAGGTTTTGGAAGCCTTCTGATGGTAATATGGATTATATTTTGTCTGGCACGCAGGGGCACCGCAGAGTGTATCGCAATAAGCACTGCAGGTTCCACACGTCGTTCACGCAGCCCTGGCTCAGACATGTTATGCCCAAAGCTGTTTGGCATCTTGGAATGCAAAACTCAACATGCATTTTTCCGAATCAAGGACATGTGAGAGTGGCAGCTCTGGACGACATGCGAGCTGCCTTTAAGGGAGCGTGAGAGTTCGTGTAGTTCACGCCGATCAGAAGGGCTTTCCTTCTGTCGTGGTTGCCTGGACAAAGCCACCACATGCATCATGAGCTAAAGGTTCACAGTTTGCAAGGGATGAGCACAGTGACATGTCTTGCTGTGAAGGTTTAAGGGATTTCGGGTCCCAGCAGCCGAGCATACCTGAGCCCCGGGCTGGGCAAGGGCCTCTGAAAGATCACCAGCCCAGGCAAAGCCTTGCAGAACAGCTGAGAGTGTGTTGACATGCACTGGTTAGATAGCTCAACTTTTTTCTTTTGAATGCTCTAGTCTCTAGTCACAAATCATGCTGCATGCCAGCCAATGCCAGGAGGAAAGCCACTAGCTGAGGCGGAAGCCGTAGGCGACGTAGGGTTGGCATTCGTCCTATGTGGTGGCAGGTCAGCACCACAAGCGCCCGAAGGCCAATTGCTGTCTTTGCCGCTTGTTGTTCTGGCACATGTTGTGAGCTGAATCTAACTGCACTCCCCCAGCTCAAGCAATCACAAGTATCCTCACAAGTTGGAAATGGGTGGATCCATGTCCGCCACTCAATCCAACAGCATTGAAATACAGGGCCATTGAGTTCCTGATATGGAGATCTCACTGTATGAGGGTGTGCAGATGGTTTACAGGGAGCTCCGCAATGTAAGGCTTACAAATTCACCTCCTAACTGCTCCCATAGGGTTTCCTTAGGCTAAAGTCCCCCTTAAGTAGATAGAATATGGCTTTGGGATGCTTTGGGTATATTGTAATAAGATCCCCATGTATCCCATATTCTATCTACTTTTTAAGGAGGACTATCAGTATCCCTGCGGCATTGCCTTCTGGACTTCTCCTCCTCCCAGGACTTTGCCTCAGTTTCTTTTACTGGTGGTTGCAAGGGAATAAGGGAAGATCATCTCCATGTGGCAGGACTTCCCTTCTTCCCTGCTTACAGTTACTGAGCCCCGGCAAGTCAACGGCGTCGAATCTTGTGGCATACGAACTTCTGCAGATGCTGGGATCTGGGGGGTTCCAAAAATCGAGGGTCCCTTTTTGGGCTCCACGTATTTCTGGAAACCAACAGGCAGCTGGTGGCAGGATAAATCTGAGAGGACTGCGCATCGGTCGCACTGGATGATCTCCTTCTGGAGCTTGTCGATGCGTTGGTGCAAGGTCCTGCCGTAAGTGTTGTCAGGGGATAGTCAAAAGGGGCGGAGGGTGCCCCAGGCAACGGGGAAGAGCTTCTTTTCGATGCGATCTTGTGTCGCACGTTCGGTAAGGCACCGGCTGCACCGTAATCTCGTGCTGCTGGTATTGCCTGCGACAGCTCTCACAACAAGGCACCAGCCGCCAGAATCTTCTGGTGGAGCTTGGGGCTAGTAAGTTTCCTATGGCATCCAGAACATGCCAACTCAGGAAGATCCTGCAAACACCTCAGCAAGATAGATACCTTCCCCCCATGACGAGCACTATCGCGCCTCGTGACCTCACCGGTCTTCTGACGCCGAACTTGTTCCGTCTGGCGCTTCCACCTGATTAGCATGTCTAGGATTGTAAATGATCAGCAAGATGTAGTAGATATGAGAAGTCGAGTGTGCTACCACTATGACTGTGTACGCGGCACACGCGTAGAAAGATCAACAGCGATGCATCAGGAGCACTTCCACACCTTTAAGCTCTTCACGTCAATATCGAGCTTGGCTGCTGTCTCTAGCGGACTCTAGCGGACTCTAGCGCAAAGGCATGCGCGTCGGGCTTTGTACTAGTAAGCGCCGCGCTGAGCAATCTCCGCTGTGTAACGCTCGACCTCACGGGCAACCTGCGAGGCCAGAGCAGACGACGCACCAAGAAACACTTTGGGCTGCCGATTCGAAAGCCAGCATCTATTTCCAACACAAGGTAACCTGTAATCTTGCCTTTCAGTTGGGAACAGGGGCATTGCTTCTCAAACCTTAGATAAAGACACAGGTATGCAGTGCTCAACTTAAGCATCCAGAACCGCAAAGGAGGCGATGCCTGGGATCAACTTGCAGCGCTTTCTTTCACCGTGGCTTTGCCAGCAACTGCTTGTGACCTCTGTGGCTTGCTGGGGCTCGGTGCTCCCGCCACTTGCGCAAAAGAGCTCTAAGTAAACCTAATCATTCTGTGAAACAGAGAGGGTATTCCTCCCATGCATTGAGAATTGAGACGCTGAGGGTTCCATCTCGGTCGTTCTACGTCAGGTGCCAGACCCTGCATGCTTCGCATCCAGGTCTCCTAACAAGGCCCTCATGTCTGTGACTTCTGGCATGAGGCTCACTGCAGCTGCTGCCATGGCTGCAGGCATGGGTCGACGTGCAGATTTTGGAGCCTCGACCCCTCCAACTCCACGCGGAGGCGGCTTATTGGGTGGTTGTGAATGGCCTCGGCCCAGCAAACGAGGACTCCCTTGCAACTTGCTGTTCAGCTGTGCCTCAACCCGTGGCGTTTCCTGCCCTATGCTGGGAAGCAAACCCACTTTTTGCTGTTCACCGAAATCATAAGCTTGTGCGTCTGTGGCAGGCGGTGAAGCCTCTTGAACTTTGAGCGTCTGCAATGCTGCAGACAGCGGAGGAAGAGATGAGCCAGCTCGCTTGCCCCGCACAGGTGCATAACTCCTCCTTTGCAGTTCTGCCTGCATTCTCTTCCTTAGGGGTTCCGGCGTCGTAGAAGCCGTGGACGCTGAACCAAAGGATGTGTTGGAGGTCTCAACCGGTCCACGGGGTGTCTGAGCAGGCCCTGCAGGAGGCTTTCGGGGACTTCGACCCCGAGGCAACTTGCGGGTTGCTGTTCTGGAGGATTCCTCCATGCGATCCAGTGATTGCTGCTTGTTGCTGGGTGCCCACATTGGGGATTCCCTTGCCTGATCTCGCCTCGCCGAGGTCTCGGCTTTCCTTGCAGGCACTGCAGGCGTCTCATCTGCCCAAGTGAGGTTCTGAAGGCTCGTGCGCCTGGCAAGGTGATGCGCCAGATGCAACAAACCAAAATCCTGCAACCTTCTACCACCCCCTTGTGCAATTTGTCAGGTGACCTACATCGTTTGCCAGCATATGTTAAGGCGAGACTTCCATCAACCCCTCAATTGATTTCTGAAGTGGGCAGCGGTGGCCTGGTGGCTGCATCTGCGCTTACATGTACTGTAAATGAGGTCCGCCGCGCCCTCTGCGGCTTGTGGCCTACAAGCTGGTTGTAGCCTTGGCTAGTACTGAGGCTGCGCAGGTCTTGAAATGACAAATCACTCCTGCGGACAACATTGCTGATTGGCCTTGATTCTCCAAGTGAGTGCATGCCCTCTCTGCAGCTGGATAATTACTATCTTGGGGAGGACTCGAGGGTCGGCGATGTAGGCAAATGTTGATATGGAAAAGATGAAGTAGTTCCGAATCCCTTCCATATGATGGCCTCACACAGCCAAAGCCCTCTGGCAGCCACGGGACAAGTTTGGCATAAATCATGCTGGCACAAGCTGCAGTGAAACCGGCCAAGCTCCGGAGCCCTAGAGCTTCCGTAGCAGCCTGCGGAATCGCAGTGCCACTCAATGTATTCGACCTCAACCAGATTTGGAGCACTTGATTGTTCTTATCGCAAAGTGTCCTCGCATCTCTACATCCCTATTATAATCCCCATTAAGGGGAAAATCGCCCGAATATTATACCCTATAACATTGTAGTTTCCATTTGATTTTCCATCAAACTAAGGCCCCGGATCCCCAGCTCCAACCGCAGACTAAAAGCCTTCAAACTTTTCGTGTAGAGCTGAGGCACCTGTGCAGCTGCAGGCGTTGGCTCTAGGCTGCTTCCCAAATCCACCTCATGGCTGCCCATTTTGGAAGGATAATGGAAAATTAAAATGGAAACTACTATATACATACACATAGTATATTGGGCTTATATAGGGATAATGGGAAAGAAAGTGGAAACTACATGAAACTACTATATATAGTAAATTGGTGTTACATAGGTCCACAAGAGTGACAACAGTTGTAACGACAAAGACCCTAAAAGCTTTGGTAACATTGACTTCCCCTTTCATCTCATATTACCGTCATGACCAGCATGGTCATCTCGACAACTTGACCTATCCCAGTTGGAGCTGCCAAATGTTTTCCCGTAAGCCTAGCCAGCACCTGTACCACTCCCTGCAAGTATATGCGGCCCCCTCAGACCCAGCCCCCACAACCAAGTCGTAGCCCAGCTGCTAGTTCATGCCCCTTCGGACAGGTTCCAGCAGGTCGCTGCCTCCCCATGTTGGAGTGGCTCCTTACAGGCATCGCAGCGGCCGCACCCCGCCCGTGGAAAGATTTGGCAAGAACTTGGAGCAGATTTATTCTGAAGTCGAAGCCCGCAGCCCCTAGTATGGGCCTTATGCACCTTCTATATACCCTATACGTACCCTTAAGGGTCCCTAGAATCCCCCTGAAAGGCCTAAGGGTCCATATTAGGGGCCCGTACTTCTAACATTAAATGAAGCAGAGATGAGATGTCTCACCGCCATCTCATGTCTACTCCCATGTCTTGTGATGCCAAGCTTCCTGTGGCAAACTGCTTGGATGTCCTGCAACCCAAGTCAAGATTTCATCTTGAGGGTTTCCCAAAATTAGGGCTACCTTCTTGGGGGTCCCCATAATACGGGTCATAGTACTGTGGGGTCCATATTGGGGGTCCATACTGGGGTTCCCCTAATTTCAGGAAACTACCATTTGCACATGCCCGCCCCTATTGAATTTGTGCAAAAGTGCCAATTTGCCTGCGCAAAGCAAGGTCTGGCGCAATGCCGCTCTTAAATCCAAAGCCTAATGTCCGACGCGGGACCTTATTGTGTTCTGAGCTGAAAGCCAGCAAAGTGCATTCGAAGCCAGGTGCCCCATACCCACGTTGTTCACTGTGTTCCCAATATCTGCCTATGAACCTGCTGAGGGACTGCTAAGGTGCCCACAAAACCTCTCAGTGCTGTTCGCTTTGCTGATTGTCAAAATTCACGCAGCATGGACCCTTGTAGTAAGCCTGATCCTTCTCAACGGCCCCAAAACAGCTTTCCAACTTCGTGAGAAACACCTGATTAGCAATGTTTTCCACAGAATGCCATGCATAACCATCCGGCATAAACTCTCAGAAGGAGCGTCCATAGCGTTGAGGAAGTCCACATGGCATTTTCCCCAAATAGGGGGACCCCAATGTAGACCCCAGCATACTGTAGTCCTTATTATAAGGACCACCAAAAAAAGTTAGCCCTAAGTTTGGCACACCCTAATCCCTTTTTTAACCCTGTATGTCCCTTTACATCCCCTACATGACCCTTTAAAGGGGAAAACTGAGCCCTAAACCCTAAGCCCTGAACCCCTAAACTCCCACATCCCTCCCCGTCCTCGATTGCGTCCTCTAGCTGAAACCAGGGATCTGGCCCGGGCAGGTTGGGTTCGCTGCAAACCTCAGCTGCTTCATTGGGTTTAGGGTTTAGACACGCGCATCGCACACATGCTTGGTGGTGACAACTCGAATTAACTGCGGGGAGGCTGGTGCAACAACAGGAGAATTGACTGCTTGTTGCATGAAGTTTTTCGTGGCTTGGTGATGCTGGCCTGAAGACTGGGGATAACTGGAATCAGGCGAGCCTAACTGCTAGTGCGGAATTCTGGATGGTGTGCCACAGTTGTGTTGCTGAATTCAAGAGTGGAACGAACGACGTCTTGCAGAACTGAGTGTGGCGATGAGGTAGTACTGACGGGTAGGGAAGATGTTTCTCTGTAGAGTGCTGTCTGAGTCCTGTCTGTGTGCGGTAGTGGCCGTAGTTGAAGTCTTGGCCTGGTTGTAGAGTAGTCTGAGTGCCGACCTGAACGTTTTCAGCTGTGCTTGCTGTGGGTTTAGGGTTTAGGGTGTAGGGGTTTAAGGTTTAAGGTTTAGTATTTAGGGTTCAGGGTTAAAGGTTCAGGATTCAGGGTTTACGTTGAGATTCAGCCGTACCTGCCGTTCTCCATGTTTGAAGCATGCCTTATGCCTGCAGCAAAGTATGGGGTTCTTCAACAGGTCGCTGGTTGTGTGGACTAAGACCTTCAAGCCTTGAGAGCTGAATCGACTACATGGCCCCTTGGGTGCTTAGTGGGGAAGGGGTTCTTAGGGACCTTGCTAGGGCATTCATAGAAGCTACTAAAGGGATCCATGTCCTCATCCCATTTTACCACTCAGCTGAAGCAGAGCTTGCTCCCAAGAGGCTCGCCGAAGGACCCGCGTTGCCTTTCCAGTTCCTAGGTTCCCCAGTAACCCATTAATCATAAGGGTACCCTTTTTCTTACTGTTCAGTTTTAATGAGGAGACCCCAAAATGAAAAGGGCAAAAGGGCAGTACTGGGTACCTAGGTTCCAGCTGAAGTGAAGCTCGACTTCCCCAGGTTCTGCTTCTCCTTGGCTTTGGAGCGGCATGAGCGAAAGCCATGCCTTCCACCTTACATTCATCACTCCCACCTCCTGATGGTGCTAAATGTGGCCCCCCAACATATATATATAATATGTATTTATATATGTGTGTCTTTATATGTATGTATACACATGTATATGTATACATCTACATATAAACATATTAGCTATCATAGGGAACATCTGATATTCTAGGTGATCAGGGAACAGGAATTGCCCATCTTTGTTTGGGCGACTCAGACTTTGTGAAATCCGGGCCTACTCAAGGGCTTCGCAGGGTGGATGAGGCTACCACCCCTATCGAACCCCTATATAACCCCTTTATAACCCTTTAGAAGCCCTATAGAAACTCTAAATGACCCCTATGGGTTTTGAGCCCTCTGAGACATGGCTCATCTCGCCGACGCAACTCCTTACTACCTCAAGGCGTGATTGTGCCAAAATATATCAACACGTCAAGTTTGCGGAACCTGGTGGCTTCAATGGCAAAATATGCGCCATCCTGTAGGTATATGGGCAAGTATACCTAAACCCTAAACCCTAAATGCGGCGGCGACTTCATGGGAGCTCTAGGCCGCCCTTGTGCGCCAACTTGCCACTCCTTCCCAGACTTGTCGATTTACTCGCCTGATGCCCTTCAAGATTCACTTGACCTTTGCAAATTACCCCAAGAGGAGCTAAGCTTCCAGTTCAGCAATCTGCTCCCGCAGGGAACGGTTTTCGCCTTCCAGGCCACTGCACCTGAATTGCGGACATCTCTTTGACGAGCCAAGGCCAAACTTGGGCTGTACCCCGCGTGGCTTTTGAAGCAACTAGTCAACGTGCATGGCCTTGAATTTGAAACATGTATTTACATCGCTTCTGCCAGCATGCAAAGAAGCCTGTTGCAGAGATTCCAGACCATCTGATTTGAAACCCTAAACCCTAAACCTTTTGTTCTGCCAAACTTTGCAGGAACTCTAGAGCTGCCGAGAACGAAGGTCCCCCCAACCCGAAATCCTCGAGGAACAGAACCACATGTGTGGGCATTCTTTCTTCCGCCCCCATTTAGGGAGATACAATGAGATATTGATGCAAAAGCCAAGAGAAAAGCAGGCTGAAGAGGATGGTACAGTTAGAGGGGATTTAGAAATGGCTATTTTATAGTAGGGTATACAGGATTAAGTAATGGTTATGGGGATGATTCGTGAAGCCTGCACCTCCGAAAATCGCCATTTGCGGCAAAGGTACGCGTCCTGGAGCTGCGAAATCCGCAACTTGAGCTCATCCTCACTTGCCCAACCAAAAAAAGGCAACATTTGGGGGTTTCCCAAGATTAGGGGTACCTTTTTGGGGGTCCCCATAATAAGGACTGTAGTATATTTGGGTCTATATTGGGGTCCCCCTATTTTGGGAAATTACCATTAAGACCTGTATAGAACCCCTACTGTAAGCCCTATAGCTCTATAATATACTAATATTGTAGTTTTCGTTTGGTGACCCATTCTCATTTGCTCTTTCATTATCCCAAAAACCCCCTAAACCCTATAGATGCATTCAACCTGACTTCCTGAGATTGTGGCATCTCCCTCGGAGTATACAGGCTTTACGGGGCCTTGTGGTCACCGCAGTTGCATGCAGGCAATGATCCCAAGCAATGTGGTGCAGTCTTTTGTGCAGCTACCTTCTTCGATGTCAAGATTTCGGGCTGAAACAAGGTACACCAGTTGCTTTGGGAGTGTCAAGTCTTTCAGCCGGAGTTGGTAATTCTGGACTTCCGAACCTTCAAACCTAATCTGCTTTCATTTGAACAAAGAATCATCCAAGAGTTTGCAAGGCACGAGCGGTTGTACTAATTCTTAATACTAAGACTGACCAGCCCGCCAAATTGTTTAGGGGTACCCATGCAAGAAGGTCAACTCAATATGTTTGGGGAAGGGGGTGGCGGATGGCGGTATACTAAACCCAGACCCCTGGGCGGATCTAGAAAGTAGATCCCCCTAAAAGGGTCCTAGGAATTAACCAATAGTAGTGTAGGGTACCATAATGGGGGTTCTACTTTCTAGATCCTCCCAGGGGTCTGGGAAGAGGGCGCCACCTTCCAGGCATTGTCGGACATCATATGAGCCATAACCCAAGCGCCTCAAAGGGGATTGCAAATGGGATTATATAAAGGACTGCAATTGGGGTTATTAAGGGGCATGCTAGGAGTTTAGACGAACTATGGCTCATATTATGTGTTGGATGGCATGGGCTTGTATGATATTAATGTGGGGACCAAACGAAATCCTCCTCAACACAGGGAACAGGGAGCACCCCGATGTTCTTGCTCTGCATCGGTTCTTCTTGAGCCATGAGTACACAAGGAGTAGCAATATCATGCTTGAAATCCTCATCTCGCCCCTAGTTTGCGGCCTGACCAATTTGAAAAATACCTGACGGCTAAGCACGCTAGAATCTCAACAACGGCTTAGCAAGCCCGACTCAAACCCAGAGCAGCTCAGCGTCCAAAGCCCGACCATCGGCACCCGTTGTGACAACAGCTCGGAGATATTCCATCTCCTGGGCTTCTGGAAGTTAGGACCGACACCTGATGCCCGATTCCTGCCTCCTGAGCCTGTGACTTCTGAAAGCTAACAATGGTCCCTTCGAGGTTGTGTTTGTTGGTCTTGTTGGATGAAAGTCGAACACTTCAAACGTCACGAAATGCTAGGAGTTGTTCAGCCATTAACAACATGCTTTCAGGAAGGTGCTTGGCAGTGTGCTTGATGAAATGAGTGAGCAGGTCGATTTCAAACTTTTGGCAACCAAGCTTCAGCCTGCATCTGAGACTTTGCCTCCTTTGCATCCAATGTTTCGCAAATGGTGGCCTTCATCTGCACACGCTTCACCCTATCAGCGAAGCGAAGGGTGCAGAGTGTCTGCATTTGGTAGAGCAGAGAGCAGCAGATCGTGCAAACCATTAACGTGTAGCTATTTCCTGCCAAACCGTCGCGAAGAAGCAATGTCAGCGTCGAGTTTCTGTATGGCACATGACGTGTGTCCCGCTTCAGTGGATTTGGCTGGGACAGAACCTGCATGCAATTTCCCAACGTGTGTAGCGACTTGTTAATGGTAGCCAGCTCACGCGCGTGTTGAGGTGAAGGAGTTGGACCCGCAGTCACCCAACGCTCATTCCCGGCTAGGTCCACCAGTCGGACCTTGCATTCCCGAATTACAGCCTTATTGTTCACAGTGAGGCGCTGGCGGATAGTCATTGTGAGCACGCAGTGGGCTCTGGAAGACTGCTCGTTGTAATTTGTAGACCGGAAGGCCACGTTCGAAAAGCCAGAAATCAGCTGGTACAAGCAGTCTTCCAAGTTCACCACTGCGACCTCTGTCAAGCCTTCTACGTAAACAGCTGCCTGCCCAGACTTGGACTTTGATGTCTCCTCCCGGATGCGAAGTGGCTTTGCTAGGGTTGCAGGTTGCAGAAGGTCGTAGCACCGCTCCTGGTAAATCTGCAGATAGCTGAGTGTCACCTCTGCATCTGGCAGGCGCTCGAAAACATGTTGCATGACACGTGGCACAATGCCCCGCTGCTGTGATGACTTCAGTGCTTCCGTTGTGGGACTCCTCTGGCCAGCAAAGGCGGACTCCATGAGCGTCGGTCCAAGCATAGTGTGTGTTTTGCCGCTGCCAGTCATTCCATACGTAAACAAAGTCACGTTATAGCCCTCAAAGGCCCTGTCAACGGTAGGCAACACTGAGGTCCACACCTCCTCCTGATCTGTCTGCATGCCAAGCACTTTATCATACTGGCACTCCACTGTGCGGGTGCGCTGCGGCTGCCGATTGTTGCGGTGGGTAGGGCCCTCGTCAGCAGTGGTGGTGAGTAGGACTTTCCGGCCTTCCGTGCGTGCGCAGTGCCCATAGGGAGCTTCTGGGGCCAGAGGTGGCCTTGCACGGACAATTACCGAAACCGCAGAGGATCCGTCAGCCGAGCGGGCTGACTTCATGCGCTCAAACAGCAGGGTTCCATTCCCCTCTCATTCCGGCATGCATTCTTCTTCTATGTATACCGCATAGCAGGCGACTGCTATGCTTGAGCCGTGGATGAGTCAATGCAAAAGCTGCAAAAGCCAAGAAGCGTAGTTTGGCCTTGCATGCTAGGCTTCAAGACTTGTCTGTGTCAGCACTTCCAGCCAGTGGATGACCGTGGCACAAGCAATGCACACATTGGCTTGCTGCCGACATCATTCCCTACAACCCTAAACCTTAAATAGAGGGTTCAACTTTCCTCTTCATTCCCGTAGATACCCTATAATCGTATATCACTCCACATAACTATACATGATCCTGTACACTACTGTATGTAACCCCACGTGAATATATATATATATTTATAACCTTTTTTACCCCATCCAGTCATTAGGGGGAGTTGCAGCCTGCGCTTCGCAGGGCTCGCCTGCCTTGGCTTCCAACGCATCATGCCGAAGCCGGATATTGTTAGATGGGGACTACTTGGAGACATGTACGGGATATATTTGGATCATATAATGCTTTAGAGTTTAGGGGGGGCAGGATTGTTGCATGAGGAAAGGGGACATATTGGGGTCATATCATTGTATATGGGCGTTATGTGGGGCAGGGAGAACTACTGTAATGAAGACTCAGATAAAAACTAAGATGGAAAATGCAAATTAGGTGTTCCGGATCTTGCCCCAATAATCTCATCTCATACGGGTGCCTTCAGTATTTGCTGCATTGGCTTGCTGTAAAGAAACTTAAACTAATTCAAGTACTATAGTACCTATTATTTATCATATACCCATCATATGGTAACTTAAGTAACTTAAGCTAAGTTCCTTAACAGCCACGTGGTACATAAAGCATTTCCCCGAAACCCAGCATGGCATGGCTGAGGCGTGTTCCTGCGCAGGGCTTAGGACCGAGCCCACTGGTCCAGAGAACCTCCATGCTTGGTCTCCACCTCCAACACTGAAATTTCCCAAAATCAGGGGTACCTTTTTTTGGGTTATGGCACTTTGGGGTATGTATGGGTCCCCCTGTTTATGGAAACTACCAATTCAAGCGGCAGGCTCTGGAGCAAACAGGAACATAGCAGAGACAGCAGTTGGTTTAGTATCAATTCAGGCCAACACCTGCTGCATCAAGTGCTTGATGGCTTCTTGGAGATACTGGTTCTCCTGGTCCAGCTTGTGCAGGCCCAGCCTGAGGATAGATTTGGGATATTGATGCTACCTCATAAGGGGGTTTTAGGGCTTAGGATTTAAGAGGGTCTAGGGTTTGGGACATTGACATTGATACTACTTACATGGTGGAGAAGCAAAGGAAAAAGACAATGGACAATGAAATGGAAACTGGGGTTCTTCAGGAGGTAAGGGGATATGTAGGGCGTTAAGCATACCACCAAGATGCAACGACAATTGACAACGACATGAAGGCTACCATTTCGCCGCTTGCATGGCTGGGACGGCATAGCAAGGTTCATTCCGATACAATCTGCGGGCAACTAAGGCGCATGCCTGCCATGAAGTGCCCAAAGTCCAACAACAGGCTAAGCAAGGACCCACAGCAAAGATTGCAGGCCTGTTTCGAGGCATCCGCGTCAGCCCACGAGACGCTCACATGGGAAAATTCGCAATCATCAACTCACTCGACTACATTTCACCAAATCATCCGGTGCTTCCTGTAGGCCAGAAGAGAGACGTAACCCTCTTTGGCACCCATATGGCAGAACCCCACTCTCCGGCCTACAGGCCAACAACCACGGCACCGAATTGCAACTCCCGGCGCCAGGCGAGTAGTTGACCGGCACATCCCAGGCATACACAAGTTCGTCAATTCAAGGATGCAAGTCCCAACGGGCCCTAACACCCCATATGCCACAAACCTCACCCGAATAGTCTCAAGGAACGACCCAATTCAAAGGACTACGCTGCAGCGGCAGCGCTAAACTTCCCCAGTTTTGGGGTCAAATGATGGGTGCTTCCTTATCGGCCAGCTGATAGAAAGCTAACATTGAGAGCTTAGGGTGTACGCAGGTTACCGATGTTACCCCAATAATGGGGAATCAGCTTGAACATGGAAAGCGCCATGGGGAGTATACAGGGGGCATATATAAGACAGTGGAAAAGAAAATTGTGGGGAGTGCCCTATCTCTAAACCCTGAACCTTAAACCCTAGATTCGACCTCACAGACCAGGGCCCCGGCGTGAGGAGCTCCACGTCACCTTCGGACTTCGCTTTCTGCCTGCACCGCAGGCAGCCAGATAAGCTAGGTGGGAAGGCGTTGCGTCAGCGAAGGCTAGCTAAGCCCGGAGCTAACAACCGCAACAACCACATCGATCCAGTAGCTCATTGTCAGAGTTAAGGATTCCGGCGACGTGGCACTGCTAAGCTAAGCAGCCAAGTAACTTCGACAGCGCCTAAGTCCTGAACATGTGTAATACAAGGACTGCAGAAACTTAGTGAGTTGCAATGGCCTGCAATCTCTACTGTGGTTTCTCTGCGAATATTCTGCGCTCCGTGAGATTCCTGTGATCTGTGAGCGGGTCTGTGAGAATTCTGTGCGCAGGTCTGCCCAAGAAACTCACAGGTCCAAAATCACTCACAAAAACCCACAGTAACCTCTCTCAAAGAACCTCTCAGGTATCTCACAGAAGTAATTCTTTCATGTGGTCAGAGAGGTTAAACAAGCTGTCACTCACAAGTCTAAACGAACGGCTCAAAACCTCCAAGATATCTCTCACGGCTTGGAGATAAGTCGAGTTTTGTTGGTTGCCGAGGACTGCGAAAATGGGACGGCTGGCTGATCCAACGTCAATCTTTGCAGCGCCTTACATATGGCGAGGAGAAGCTATCCATGCAGCAACAACGCAAGGAAAAGGCACTGCGATGTATTCTGTAGGAATGAATCAACTTGCTCCGTCAAGGCTTCCAGGCCCCGGGCCCCTCCAACTTTGCCAGCGTTTCCTGCTGCAACTTCAGATGATCCTCCTGACGCAATGACAAACAATCGGGTTGATCATCTTAAATTCTCAGCTAGCTTTCTGGCAAGCTCCACGCAAAATGCCGTCTCGCATTGGGAATCAAGCTGGCATGCTGTAGGTGTGGCCAGATGAGGGGAAGAGTAAGGCTTTCAAGCGCAAACAGCCTGCCAACCCACAAGACGAACAGGTTGGGCCGTGGCCTGGACATAACTCCACCTCAAAACTATCATAGAAGGAATGTTGGCAAAGGAATGCAAACCCTGCAAAATTGAAGCATGTGCCCCTCGCAAGCTGAAGATCTTAGTTGATCGTTTTTCCCGAGATCGCGTGCTCTTTCTCCCATTTCCGGCACATAATTTCAGAAGTCTGGCTTTGCGTAGCCAAACGCTTCGTAGTCGGCTTTGAAATACCTCAGTGGTACTAACTCCATAGGACGCATGTGGCAACTGAATGCTTCTGCGCATAGAAAGAGCCATACTTCCTCCTAGCAAAAGCTCTGAGCCCATTTCCTCCTCAAAGGAACTCATAGACGGCTGCTTTCGTCGGTGGTGTAAGGTCAGCCACTGACATGTTGCAATGGTCTGTCCAGGAGGACATCAGTTCAGCAGCTGGAAGCTCCACGCCTTGGCCATATTCCGCCATGAGCTCAGCAAACCTGACTCCATCACTTCAGGTCTCAGCGGGGAAGGGATAATGGAAAATAAAATGGAAACTACTATAATGGAGAATCAAATGGAAAAGCAAATGGAAAATTAAATGGAAACTGGGATTATATAGGGGATTATATATGAGTATGACATCCATGTCTGCAAGCAGTTAACGAACGGTTAACACAGGGAGGGATGCCAGTTGCTGCAAAGAACTTTTATCATGCGCGGCAAGGGATCACTGACTAGCTGCTCCTTGGAGCTTTGGCACCTCTTGTGGCAGTGCACGCTCTGGCTGAACATGCTTTGCTGGGAGAGAAATTGCAAGCCCTGACGTGGCTTCATGTTCAGCCTCGTCCCCCCAAAGAATCCCAATATACTACAGTAGTTACCTATTTATTTTACATTATCCCTATATAACCCCAATGTAAACCTGATAATACCCTAAACAGGTGATCCGCTGGAGCATGAATTGACAGCCAGGAGTCTCCTGGTCTAAGTTCTCTTCGTGCAGGATGTGGTGGCAGTACTGGTGGGTTGCAGCAGACTTGTTCGAAACACCCCAAACCGACCTCAGTCATACAGGCATGGATATCAAAGTGTGTGTTTGATAGTCAGCACCCTCGCCGGCACACACCAAATGACATCAAGTGCGCCAACGCCTACCTGGCCCAACGCTGGCAAAAGCAGTTGGGCAGCCAGGAAGAGTTCAGAACAAAAGCACGCATCAGTAGTCAAGCTGAGCTGCTGAACTTGCGGGACGAAGAAGCAGTTGTACATATATTGGCCTGGGCTGCTCATCATGCAGACATGCCCCCTTGATCATTCTATGCAGGTTCAGGGCAGGACAAAGCCGCTCTGGGCCAAAGACTTGGCTATATAAGTTGACAGATATGGTAGTTTCCCAAAATTAGGGGACCCCATGATAGACCCCAATATACTATGGTCCTTATTATGGGGACCCCCAATAAGGTACCCCTAATTTTGGGAAACTCCCATATTAAACTACGGCAACCAAGGCCTTCACTGAAAAGGGCAAATGATGCAAACATGACTTGGCTTGACAGAAAAAGTATTGGGTAGTTTCCCAAAATAAGGGGGACACCAATATAGACCCCAGAATACTACAGTCCTTATTAT